GCAAACTATTGAGTTCTGTTTGTTTGTGTCAAGTTATTGTGTATATTCGTTTTAAGACAACAACGAAGGTTGTGGTCTAAATTTCCAGTGTCAGCTGTTAAAAGTGAATATTTTTAATGCTAATATTGTAACGCTTGCTTAGATGATTCCCAGCTAAATCATATTGCTTAGTATTCTCTGACCACAATACACTGGACAAGTTCCAAAGAATCAAAAACACGGTTGAACACGAAAAGATTATATTCCAAATAGCAAGTTTAAATGGAAATAGGAAGGCGAAGGTAAAAATAGATACAACGTTAGTTTATTTATCGTATTTACATGAGAAGCTTCTGGATAGAAATTCACCTGATCAACTGGATTAGATTCAGCCAAACAGCACGCGGCTAACAATACGAGAATTTTCTACCCTGCTCTCCAAGAATCGACCAGGCGCTGATTGGATAGAAAATTAGCCAATCAGCGCGTAGCAACGTAGTCATGCTTTAATCCTATCTATGTCCCACTAACAGCTAACCTGAGCAAGACAGAATGATTTAAAGGTCTATGGGGTAACTTCATATAGTACAGTGACTTTGATGGTAGCTTTTATCTCAGACGAATGGTTCATATGCTTTTTTCGCTGCCATCTTCAAACCTTCAAAAAGTCACAATCATGATTGATGGCGATATTATCTCCGCTATACATAACAGTTACCTTAAGATTGAAGAAAAAAGATTGTTAAAAACAAATGGGAATATTAAATGTAGAATTCGTGTGTATTTATATCTGAGTCTATCCATCTACTTGTTGACTAATAAGAATCTTCCCGGTAGCCAAGTAATTGAGTAATTAGACAAATTCAGAATAAAATGTGTATTTACAAATAAATCAAACAAAAAAAGTATACATCACAATGTGTTAAATGCCAAAGCGATACGTTGACTAAGCGCTGTTCCAAGACATCTAAAATAAAAGAAAGAGTAAATAAAAATAGAAGAGGATTAATAAGTAAAACATTTTGTTTGTTAGTATCTGTAATTTTCAAGGAATGAATGCTTTCCTAAGTCAGTCAGCTGAAACGTAGCACGTGTTACGTAGGTACATCAGTTCAAGTTGCCATTAACAGAGATGGGATTGTCAGTTTCAACTTCATAGTAGTAGTACAGGTATAAGCGGTAATAAAAAGGATTAGGGATCGAATATATGAGTCGAGAAGTATAACTCAGCGAAATCAATTCAAAAGGAATAAGAACGATTATAAAGAATTCCGAAGCTTAGGATTTGGGGGAAGACAAAACGCGCCTGCATTTGTGCCACTGCAAATAACTTTGAGCCATGTCATTCAAGGTCTCAACCCACCGGTCACGATTGCATAGATACCCCAACCAGGCATTCTACACCTACTAACACAACTCGATGCACTTGTCCATGACTTTACAGACTGGTCTTAGTTTGGCCTCCACTAGCTTTCTGCCAACCTACTTCTAAAGAAGACAGCACCACCTGTCAAGGTATTCGGTGGTTGAGTATACATGACACGTCCAAGATACCCCCGTCGACGAAGATTTTGCATCTTTAACTAATAGCCTATTTGTAACCTAGGCTAGACCACCTCGGTTACTTAGTGGTCCCAAAATACGCAAACAACGCTTAAACATCATTTATGATTGAATAATAGGACGGAGCAAACTGCTGCGCAGTAAACTCGTCCTTTGACTGGGGGAAAAGGATCTTATCTACGCTTCTTCCAACAAAAGACAGAGATGTTAGTAATTAAAAAATAATTTACTTACCGATTACTGTCTGCTGGTTTCAAATCTGCCAACATATTACCCTTGTCTAACATAGTCGGTTGTTTATCATAGGCATCCATTAAACTGAAATACAAGAAATAAAGTCTTAACAAGAGAAACTAGCAGAAACGGTCAGTTAATGTATGAAGAAACTTGAAGGTCCGATTATTATTGGATTCCGAATCAATTGCCAGTTAATAAATAACTTACATGCAAGGAGTTGGATATTTTTCCATAATTGCAGTAATTTTCGGACCAGAACATCCAGGAATTTGCATTAAATATTTTGCAAAAATATCACGTATACTTGGATCTGGTGATTTATTCGCAAGTTTAACAAATTCACACCAACTTAATGCATTTATAGTATTTAACTTGAATGGGGTGGTATCACTGGATTTTTGATGATTAACGTATAAATCATTCTGTAAAGATATAAGATAACAGAAAGAAAGAATAATAACAATCGATGCTCATTGTAAACTTCTCACAGTAGACAAACTGATGCATATTACTATGTAATCAATAATTGTTTAAGCTTTATAAGTTTGATTATGTTATGATTATGACCTAACATGAAATATTTTCAAATTTTAAGTCCTGAATTCAAAGTCTTGTGACAAAATTGCATAAACATAACGAGAATAAATTTGACCAATTGATACATAGAAGGAACCATAACTTAAGTGTAGTAGTAGAATCAAATTGGCTCATTTTATGAATGATATAATACAGAAAGATAGTGTTCTGCATTTGTAACCACAGATATAAACAGTAATAATAAATTATATTTTAAAGTTGATGGCAGAAACAATGGATACATGTTAATTAAAGACGTAGTAATGCACAGTTAATAATAATAATAGGTCATTCAGTCAATTAAAACGTAAAACTCAGTACGTACCTACATCAGTTCATGTTGCCATACTACATTAACACAGAGACGCGATTGTCAATTCAAATCCCACAGTGGTAGAAGTATTATCGGTAGTGAAGAAGACTAGGGTTTGAAGATCTTGTTCAAGAAGTATAATCCAGTGAAATAAATTTAGAAAGAGAAAGATATAGATGATGAAGAATTCAGGAGATTAGAATTTGAGAGAACACAAACAATCGATGCACCCGCGCCATCGCAATAGATTTTGAGCCATGTCGTTCAAGGTCTCTACCCATCGGTGACTTTCGTCTCGCGGACCCCAACCAGGTAGCCTACATCTACCAACATGACTCAGCCCACTTGTCAGTGACTTCATGCACTTCTGCTATGGTTTGGTCTGGCCACCCCTAGCTTTCTTCCAACCTATTCCTACACCACAAAACATAGCTCGTAACACATGTCTCAACCACCTCAACTGAAGTTTCAATATTTCATTTGTTAAGTTGCCAGCCCTACCTAGTTCTCGTTTCTTAACTATATCATTGCTTACTCGGTTGTCCCAGGATATACGAGCAATGCTTCGAAGACATCTATAATCGAATACTAATAACCTATGAATATCCTCAACTCTTACTGGCCATGTTTCACAGACATAAAATAGGACAGGGCGAACTGCTGGGCAGTAGCAAACGGATAATCTTGTCTACAACGTAAATGATGCAAGTTGGCAATAGCCAATCGAGACTTTATAACAAAGGGAGATTAATCCTCGTCCGCTGAATACGTCAAAAAACAAACAACCAAGAATTTTTAGAAATTAAAACACAATAATAATAATAACAGACATTTGATTCATTCTGGTAGGATTTAAAAAACAATAAGATAAACTATATGGTACGATTGAATTCCAACTGACTATCAAATATGATCTATAAATTCACCAAACTATCAGCGATTTTCATTGTAGGGTTGTAGAGATTTTTGAGTTTCATTGAAATCATGAGCCGATCACTGTTAAACCCCCACTAGGAATCATCTACAGTATGTATTTACGAGCCGATGGGCGGGAATCGAAGTCAGGACCTTCGGTTTCGCAAGCGAATGCTTAACTTGTAGACCACTGCAGCCACCATCCGTACGACGTTGACGAAAGATGTTCATTTTCTTATGTGAACTGTAACATTATTTGTTCTCTAAACTAGTTACTAACATTGTCTTTCAGATCTCGACACAAAAACTGATATCATTTTACTAAGTGACAGATTCACATCATTTGCCACCTATCGAAAAGACTCGATAAATGAAATACTATATGTATATAATTAAGTACGAGAATGAAGAAGTGATCAGCTAAACGAGGGTGAAGTTACTGTTTGTTCTGTTTGTCTTCTGTTATGTATATAAGGTTTATTTTTGTAGTTGATATTTAACTTTCCCTATTTAACATGATAAAGTATAAAAGGCAATTGGTTTTCTATGCTTACCTATTCATAATCAAAATGAAAGGGTCATGTAGTTTAAGGTAAGAGAAGCCCAATAATCAAAATAGTTAAAAGTAATAACTCAATGTATGTTACATGACAGTTGAAAGTGTTTTGAATGATAAACAATCATCAAAACAACCCATTACACATTGACAAATACATAGTTTTTAATTGGACTGCAATATTGTTGATAACAGTTTTAAGAATAATACAAATGTAACATGTAATTTTATTTAAGAAGGGTCAACAACTAAGGTCTAAACACGTCTAAAACAATACCTGTTCCATGTAGAATAGATGAAATGAATTAAACACTTACAAATTAAGTTGAAACAAAAAAACATCACTCCAGTAGTTAAATGTATTCTGTAAATGAATTAAACATATAGTAATGTATATATATAATTTCTTACGGAAACACGTGACTGAAGTCTTCGTGAAAGTGCAGCAAGTAAATCGACAGTATCTTCAAGACTTTTTGTTGTCATAATTTGTAAACCATCGATTATCTGTGAAAGGATAGATAATATAATTAGGCATCAGAACAACTATCTTTCACAATTGGAAAATGAACAGTAAGTAAAAGCGATATGTCGTTATATCTGAGGTAATGAAATGAGGTAATGGTGAAACTTCATCAGTTGAGGTGGTTGGGACATGTGTTGCGTATGCCTAACCACCGACTGCCTCTACGAGGTTTGTTTCGTTGTGTAGGAGTAGGTTGGAAGAAAGTTAGGGGCAGCCAAACCAAAACATGGCAGAAATCCATGAAGTCATTGACATGTGAACTGGGTCATAATGGTAGGTGTAGACTATCTGGTTGGGGTCTGCGAGATGATAACAATCGATGGTTAGATACCATGAATGACATGGCTCAAAACCGTTTGCAATGGCGCAGGTGCATTTATTCTTTGTGTTCTCTCAAATCCTAATCTTCTGGGTTCTTCAACAACTCTAGTTTTGACTTTCTAAACTTTTCTCACTGAATCACATTTCTTGATTATCTTCTCATCCTAACCTCTCCGATTACTCCTAATACCTTTACTACCTCTTCTACTATTGAATTTCAATTGACAATTATATCTCTGTGCTGATGTGGTATGGCAACATGAACTGATGTACTTACGTACGAAGTTCTACGTTGCATCTGACTGAGGAAATGAATAGGACTGATTTGGTAAATGATACAAAATATAAAATAGGAACATTATGTCAATCCAAGATTATATGGCATTTCTATCATTAAACACTACAAAATTTGCAATAACAGTTTATGTGATAACTTGTTATCTAGGCATCTCTCAGTCAGTCAGTCAGTCAGTTGCAACGTAGAACTTTGTACGTATTGCACATCAGTTCATGTTGCCATACCACATTAGCACAGAGACGCCAATGTCAAATCAAATCCCATAGTGATAAAGATAGTAGAGGTATTAATGGTAATGAAGACGACTAGAGTTTGAAGATATTTTGTTCAAGAAGTATAATTCAGTGAGATAGGGTTATGAAGACAAAGGTAGAGGTGCTGACGATTCCAGAAGATTAGGATTTGAGAGAGCACACCGAATGGATGCGCTTGCGCTATTGCAAACGATTTTGGGCCATGTCGTTCAAGGTCTCTAACCATTGGTGAATTTCGTCTCGCGGACACCAACCAGGTAGTCTACACCTACCAAAATGACTCACTCCACTTGTCAGTGACTTCATGGATTTTTGCCATGTTTTGGTCTGGTCGCCCCTAACTTTCTTCCAACCTACTCCTACACTACAAAACATAGCTCGACGAGTTGGTCGGTGGTTAGGCATTCGTAACACATGTCCCAACCACCTCAACTGATGAAGTTTCCCCACTTCTTTCAGGATATACGAGCAATGCTTCGAAGACATCTATGATCGAATACTAGTAACCTACGAACATCTTCTACTCTTAACAGTCATGTTCTAGGCATCTCTGGGTTCAGTCCATATTTAAATGCATCTCATATTCGTCTAAAGGTGTTGCTATTGTCAAAAGTGATAGACCAACCAAACTATACAAGTCACATGCAATAATGAATGATGTGTAATGAGTAATGAAATGGTTTATATAACAAAAGTCACTGCCCATTTGATCATCGGTTAAGGTGGTCCTTATTACTTATACATATAGATAAGCTTTAAGCATAGATTTAACGGCAAGTACACCTTCCGATGCAATTTGTTTTCAGCTTTTTTATATAGATGATTCATTCATTGATCTAATAATCGAATCAAAGTTAATAAGAAAATCATATTACAGGTCAGAATAGCCTTCTAAATAGGTAAGAGTATCCGAAAATGAGAATTAAAATAATATATTGAGACAATTTTAAGAAACGATTTTTCTTCAAGATCAACTAGTACAATTCAATAAACTAAACATTATTTTCACTATAGAGTTGTGAAGATTGTTAAGTTTCATTGAAATCATGAATCAATCATTGTTGGACGGCGGTTCCATCAAAGTACAGGACTCATCAGCAGTGCGTATCCATGATCCCCGCCCACGGGAATCGAACCCGGGCAGGACCTTCGATCTCACACGCGAATGCTTAGCCTCTAGACCACTAAGCCGGAACCCAACGGTGTCAATGTCTAACTTTAATCAATCTAAAGTATTACGCAACTTTACCCACTGTCTTCAGTAGTTAACTGCAGACACGGTTGATCTCCAGTAGTCACGGCTTTTAAATATTAAAAGGCTAAAACTAATCATTTATCAAGTGAAATGTTTTTTTTAATTTTCAAAAGGTGTGTAACATTTACAAAAAGCCAAACGTCGTTCTATCTAGAAATTATTGCTTGCATTGAGCTTTTGATATATAGCTTAATTATGAAAAAAAGTCTTAATCATTGAAACGAACAACCATTGGTTACGATAAAGTTTATAAATAGCAAAAATGAAATGAAAATGAAAGTGGTGATTTATACTTATTGTTATGAATTAAGTCCTAGATATACTACTCATTCTACTTATTATGCGTGTTAAAGCAATTGTCAAAATAAATTTTATTCTACTTACTTGTGCATTTGAAATTGCTTGTATTAAAACATCATAAGAAACTTTTTGATTATGCATCATTGGACATTCTTCAATTAAATAAATTAATTGTAATAAACCTGTACGTTTTAAACGATACTACATCATGGGTAAACGGAAAAAAAGGAAAGAGAGATCAAGTAAATTACTTATTTGAAAGAAACAAAACAGTTTTTCCAATTGGGATACACTATTTGACAAGCAATTTTATATCATAGATAGTGAGTTTTAAAATTAGCTGATATTTTATTCTGTGAATTTATCCCTTTTTATTGGAATCATGAATCAATCATTGTTAGATCGCCATTATAAAACTGGAAGCACGAACGGCCCATTTTGTCCTGGTATGGGCATCATCAGCAGTGAGCATCTACGACTCCTGCGCCAAGCAGGATTCGAACCTAAGGCCTTCGGTCTTGCACAACCATATACATTGTCTTCGGTAGTTACTGTCCACACCACTAGTCACGACTTTTCACTTGGAGTAGATTCCTCACGGAGGTAGTCACTAGTGAGCCAGGTAGGTTGGGGTTGTGGAGACTACCACTAATACTGTTACTTACTTCTCGAACTGAAGAATTTATATTTATAATATCATTCCTACGTGTTGACATAGTATAGCAAGTTAATGAATACACATGTATGTTAGTATCTGTGATTTTCGAGGAATGAATGCTTTTCTAAGTCAGTCAGCTGAAACGTAGGATGTATTACGAACTTCAGACTTGTTTGTGCTGATGATGTTGTTCAGAAGAATGATGAAAGCTCCACAACCAAAACAACCTGCTCGGAGAACGAAACACCACCACAAACATACGAGTTTGTTTACCGAGAAATGGAGACAGATATGTGAAGAATGAACAACAATTGGATAGAACTAGAAAGGAAGATCCAGGATAGAGTAGGGTGGAGAATACTGGTCGGTGGCCTGTTCTCCGTTGGAGGTAACAAGCGTAAGTAAGTGAGCAAGTAGGATTGTTTAACAACTAAACCATTGTTCTACTGTTTTCTTTCTCAAGAACTAAATGGTTTAGGATGACAAAGAAACCAATGTTCTATAACTAATCGGTCATCAAATTCCAACAGTCGATAACCTAAATAGACTTTATAAAATGATTGGAATTAAGGATAAATACTTTTAACATTTAGTTATTCCATTATGAATTGTCATGATGAAAAAATCAGTGTGATAATTTTTAAGCATTAAGGTATGGAACAACAAATATTGAGTGCAATTTAATTGTGGTTGCGTTGATTCTGATATTTATAAACAATTAAATATGCTATGAAATAAATCTCCCCTTTAGTTTCCTCATATCATACTTAGGTGAATCCCGTTAGTGCGATGGCGGTAATAAGAAGCCGAATACAGATTCAGTTGGATGAATTGATTTCAGAGCGAAGCGTATTGGAGAAGACAAGCGAGACAACTCCATGTAATGAGGCCTGACTAAGCATTTAAAGTCAGACAAAAATAAGTCAGACATACGATAAGCGAAGTAACCGGCACACACATACACAAACAAACAAAAACAACCAAGATATGAGTGGAGTGATTGACAAGGTCAAAAGGCATGGGAATAATGACTCGAGAAGAATGGATTGATTAAATTGTCCAAAGGCTGAGACAAGCCCTGTGGGCTCGACATAAAACACATACACTACAAAGACCACATGTAGAAAATTGTGCATTAATTTGAGTAAACATACTACATAGTAAGTAGTATAATGATTTGTAGGGTTCAATTTTGAATCATTAGTACTTCGATTTAAACCTAAACTTCATTTACTTTGGTTTAGACGGTTCATAGCTGATTAAGTGAATTGCTAAATTGCAGTAAAAATAAAAGAAACTAGATATGCGGTATATAAATTAAAGACGAAAGCAATGTTTATACAGGTGGATGCAAAAGCCTATCATGAATACTGAGACGATAAGTGAAAAATGTTAGTCTAATGGATATAAATATTGTTGATTTATTAGAAATTCTATAACAGTAAAAATATATTCATTGTTTACTTTTTGTTCTAGGAATCGTCCATCAACAATACTATGCGCTAAATCATCCATTCTTTTACGTTCAACAATCTGATCTAGGACAGCTTCCATTAAACAATCTAGAAAATATAAAGAAACATTTATTGAATGAATGATTAGCATATTTTTTAAATGTAGTTTTATTTCTTTGTTGGAAAGAACAAACCAGATTCCAGCGAAGGGAGAAATCAAGAAGAAGCGCTGAAAGCCACATGACAAGCCCTCACTTGGAATCCAAGAGGTCAAAGGAAAAGAGGGATGACGGAACCGAAAAAGGAGGTTCAGGAGAGAGTAGGTTGGATAATACTGGTCGGCAGCCTATGTTCCGTTGGGGGGTAACAGGACTAAGCAAGTAAGTTTATTTCTCGTAGCTTCACGAATTAGGCATCGGAGGTCAAGTTCTGCAGCAATCCAATTTTCGCTTCAACTTTAATTACTTGCTTCATATACATAACACAAACAGGCAATCGAGGCTTTCTAATTACTTTCAACGTTTATCATACCTAATTTAGCTTAATTTACTAATTAAAATTCTGATGATATAAAACGTTTACTATGATGAAAACTGCTGATAAATACAGGAGCGATATATTCAATTGAAAATATCAGTTGTGCTTTGTGATCAAGGCGGTTGAATTGTAAAGTTTTCATTGTGATTCTGGAAAACATTCCAATCAAATAATCTATAAGCGTTATATTAGTCTGTTCTGATGAACTTGCTTGTACAATATTATCTTGGGAAGTTTGCCAGCTTCAATTACCTCTATTTCATGTTATGATAATTTTACAAGTTACCAAGAATTTGACCTTTTTGTTTTACTAATTTCATATCCCTGGTTGTCTGTATGTTCAGTGATTTGAGTAGTAACATATCATCTTATCTAACTCCTAGTTTTTGTTGCAGTATATGAAGACAAAGGCATCTATTTCTTCGATTTCATTGAAAGCAGATAACTGTGAACAAGAACTTCATTAGGAAAACTTTGAAATTTTTTGATTGAGGAACAACTACTGAAGAATTTCGGGAATAATAAACTTCAAGTCAATGTGCAATCAGTGTAAGGATAACAACTAAACAAACAGA